TATGAAGGCTGAGTTGCAGGCATTGGAGTAGAATGACACATGGATACTGACAGATTTACCAAAAGGGAAGAAAGCTGTGGGATGTAAGTGGGTGTATAAGGTCAAATGCAAGCCTAATGGTTCTATTGATCGTTACAAAGCAAGGTTGGTTGCTAAGGGTTATACTCAAGTGGAAGGAGAGGACTTCACAGAGATATTTTCCCCAGTGGCCAAAAATGTCACAGTCAGAGTTCTGATTGAACTTGCAGCTTCTAAGGATTGGCGTCTTCATCAGTTAGACGTTAATAATGCATTCCTACATGGTGCATTGGATGAAGAAGTTTACATGACACCACCTCCTGGCTATAATACTGCAAGCAAAGATCAGGTCTGTAAGCTCAAGAAATCACTCTATGGTTTAAAACAGGCATCTAGAATGTGGAATACTGAGTTGACAGAAACCTTAATCTCCTATGGTTTCAAGCAAGCCTTTAGTGATCACTGTCTTTTCATCCTAGATCATGCCAATTTCTTCATTGCTTTGCTGGTTTACGTTGATGATATCCTTATTACTGGCTCACATGAAGAAGAAATACTCAAAGTCAAGCAGTTTTTAGATGGAAAATTTACCATCAAAGATTTGGGATATGAAAAGTACTTCCTAGGGATGGAGATTGCACGTTCTCAGGTAGGTTTGTTTCTTAGTCAAAAGAAGTATGTTCTAGATCTTCTTCGTGATACCGGAATGTTGGATTCTATACCTGCTGGCACTCCATTTCCACCTAATCTCAGGTTTTCTGATGAAAAGAAAGACACAACACCTTTGGTGACAAATCCTAGTCAATATAGAAGGCTTGTGGGGCGGTTGCTGTATCTCAACTACACGCGACCAGATTTGACTCATTGTGTACAACAATTGAGTCAGTTTGTTCATGCACCCCATGAATCTCACTGGCATGCAGCACAACATGTTCTTCGTTATCTCTTCGGCTGTCCACATCAGGGTTTGTTTTACTCAAAAGAAAGTTCCTTCAACCTCACAGCTTTCAGTGATGCCGATTGGGGGACTTGTAAGACTAGCAGACGCTCCTTAAGCGGTTATTGCATTTTCCTTGGTACAAATCTTGTTTCATGGAAGACAAAGAAACAAAGTACCATATCATGTCCTACTGCTGAATCTGAATACCGAGCCATGGCTGTGACGGTTAGAGAATTGCAATGGTTGAGCTATTTACTCCATGATCTCAAGATTGCTCTCTCTCTGCCAATACCTTTCCATTGTGATAACAAAGCAGCACTCTATATTACTGCCAACCCAGTTTTTCACGAACACACAAAACATATTGAAATCGATTATCATGTGGTTCGTGAACAATACAAGAGCGGCTTCATCAATCCCATGCACATTGCTTCAGCCGACAATCTTGCTGATTTCTTCACTAAACCGCTTTCTTCGTCAGTGTTTGCACGCCTTCTGTCCAAGCTCAGCATGTGGAAGCCTTCCCCAGCTGCGCTTGAGGGGGGAATATTGAAGAATCACGCAGCAAACACTGCAATGATCATTTCCCGCCAGCAACAAATTTCATATTTAAATCCACCTACTGAAGCAAACGACGACGTTCCTGTTTTCCACTTTTCTTATCCTTCAAACACAACACGCAGGACGTGTTCTGTAACTTGCAGGGTTTGATGCTGACCTGGAAATTCATAAGGAGCTTCCGGAATCATTACGTGGCTCACGGAATATGCTTGGAGATCACGCAAAAGTTCTTCTTGTAAATAATTTTTTCGGTAGTTAGAAGTGAAGATTCTAGAGTAAGGATTAAGTTTGTAAATTGTAGAGTGCAGTTTTCTTAGATTTGTATAAATAGATCTAGGATTCTTGTAAAGAACGATTAACTAAAGATACACACAGTAAAAGGAGATGTTCTCATTTTCCGGTTCTTATGAGCTCTCCATTTCCTTTGATTCTGTGCTTTTCATGAAATGTAGAACAGTGCGCTTGAAGAATTGCTTTGGCATGCTTTTCTAGCTTAGACATCAACCATGGAGAAAGTGGTTGATGGCTCTGGTTCAAGGAGGATCACCTGAATGAACATGAAAACAAAGAGATAGAGCTTCCCTTTTTTGAGTTTTCTAGGTTAGTTCGTGTCGAATATGCTTGGAAAGGCTTACCCGATAAACAGAGGTTACATGTCTCCAGAATACCTTGAAGTTGCGGAATTCTCAGTAAAATTGGAAAGTTTGATCCTCGTTTCTTCATGAACATATTGGCGATCTTACATTTCCAGATCATTATGGCGGCAGAGTTGACGGTGCTTGTTGGACGGAAACCTAACTCCATCGAAATATCACTTATATACATTCCATTTGTTAAAAACCTAGAGGCAGTTCATGTCGTCATTATCCCATATCAAGAACATCAATCATCCCCAAGTCTGGAAAGCAGGCAGGGATGATGATATATTCGTTTAAAGGAGCTAGCGTTCGCTTCTTATCATTCTTCTTTTTTCTTTTAGTAATATAAGCGAAAACATTTAAAATTTTCCGACCATTTATTTTCTTTACAGTTGAAACTTGAACAAATTATAATGTAATATTAGTTGGAAGCGTAATTTGACGTTGAGAAGCCAATCGTCCAGTGTGCTAACAATATGGTTCTCCTTTTGAGACAGAAGTAGTAATTATTAGCTAGCTTTGTCGCAGCCGATCTAATTAATTTTCATAACAGCACCAACTACACTTTTTTTTACTGTATTTATTTATTTTAATCACATAATTATTCAAAGTCTTTGGTACTCCGAACGCCCTCCTAATTGCTCGAGTAATAAAAAAAATCGGACAAATATTTCCTGAAAGAAGGATAATAAATTAAGTCCAGTGTGCTTAATCATTTCTATTCCCAATTAAAGGGACATAAAAATTGGTATGCCATGCATAGTTCCACTTGTTGTTAGCCTTGCTATGTGGCAGGCGATCCAGTTTTCATTAGACTTTCAGGCTTGCAACAGCTGCCCATGTATGACACCACTTATCTTGGCTTAGATTTACCTATTTCAACTCCTGAGCTCCCGCTGAATTAATCGGATCAAGAAGTTAAATAAATATGATTAATTTTTAGTATACATTATTACTACCTCATTCGGTCTTTATTATAAAATAATATTTCGATTTTTTCTGAATTTTAATTATATATTGAGTTATTTCAATTGAAATAAAATTTTAAAAATAAATTTTCAAATTTATTAAGTTCTTCCAATTATTATAAATATTTTTAAATTTTTATTTTTATTGAAAAAATATGATAAATGAAATTTAGAATAAAACAAAATACCTACAACAAAGACCAAAGAGAGTATTACACGAATAAGATTTACTAGGAAAATGTTTTATTATTATTATTATTATTAGAGGAGACTACAAGTTATACAAGTCTATTTCGTTCGTGGATCGGGTACTTGATAAATGCATACCATTGTATTCCCCTTATTTTTCAGACAAAATAGAAAACTAATTCCGCTATGAACTATATCGAAGCCCAAAGACACTAATGCATCACTCTACGCAAAAGTGGACAAATCTCGGGACACCCTCCTTGTACATTTTAGCAACCAATCTCAATTAAAATTTTCAACAAACCCTTCATCATCATTTGACGTGTGAATTTATGTCCGCAAACTGAAAAACTAGATTTTTATATCACTAATTATGTGGACTGTGAATTTGTCTCAATCTCATATATGCATTACATACACATGGACTCCCCATTGTATACTAGTTTGAGGATTCATAGCATTCCGCTGCTCCAAAATAGTGAAGTATTCGTAACTTTTTTCTATTCCGAAAATAATATTAGAAGTAGAGAGATAAAGCCATGAAACGTAAAAGGACCAAATCACTACATCAACTCCTAATAACTATTTACTTCTTTTACTACCTCATTTTACTGTAATGTATCACTGCTTAGGAAAACAATTAAGCAAACCTAAATTGACTATGGAGTTTGAAGACTTCTATCCTTCACGAACCACGATCAATAATAAGCTTCAAACTATGTCACTGATCAATACGAGTATCGATCTATTTACGTAAAATGGGAATAACTGTACCTTTGGTCAAAAAATTCCAAAAATTATTCTAAAATTATCTGCGCCAAAACAGTGACACTTCACCAGAGAATTTCGGCCAAAGTCCCAACTACTCTCACCATGAATAGTAATGAAGCCCAAAAAGTCCAAAACTTAGATTAGAAGTGACAAGTCATATGTATTTGACCCCTTGATTTCGTCCGAGATAGTACTTCTTCCTCAAAACAAGCAATAATCTAGGGTTTAGTTGAGATTCTTAATTCAACAATGAAAAAACCCATCAAATCATCTTTCAGTGTAATAATTCCAATATCGACCATTATATACATACATCTTACCTATCCTATACAGAGCATGTAGTAGTACCAATGAAAATATATAACATCATTAAAATGTTTGGATCTAGTTGAGATGCATAAAGTATATTCCGGTAGTTTTTTGTCCTAACACACAAGATTCCAACCTTTCGAGTCAAAAATAGTTGGGAAAATGCGCATCAATGAAGCAGGACAATTCCACTAATGAAACACAATTTAATTACACCTACCCAATAAACCTTATAATTAAGATCCCAATTAACCCAATATACAGACGAGGTAAAAAAAAAAATTTCTATAACACTTAACTGTGATACTGGTTAAAGAATTGATACGTACTTGATCGTTCATTTAAATACATTTATGGAATATGTCAAATATTAAATTAGACATAAAAAATATATCACATAAAAATCTCGCTAAAGATGTGACAAAATTATAAACGGTGAGTAAATCGTATTATCGAATCAGAAATTTTTACGATAAAGAACCGTATGGAAAAGTACAAAAAGGAGACATGGACTTTTTCCTTGTACGCTTTCAGAGCTGAGTGGCGTAAAACAACAACGAGGACGTTTTTTGCATGCAGGGCGTAGAGTTAACAATGAGGTGCCACATATAGGGAGGTTGCATGCCATTTCTAATACTATGCAGCCACGCATCTGTCTGCCCATCCCTCACACCATCCTCGTCACTCTCTTTTCATTTTTCTTTTTCTTTCTCTTTATTCTCTCGCTCTCTTTTAACACAACAAACAAAAAACTTATATAAAATCCCCTTCCTTCTTCATCTCTTTCATTCATTCATTCAATTAAACCCAAACACAATACTCCTTCAATGTTTCCCTAAGATTTAATTTCTTTCTAGCCCAGAAAACTGAGAAAGATTTTTCATTACGATTTTATCATTTTATTTTTTTTTTGCTTCTCATTCCAGAAATGGATTCCCTTTGTGCTGATCAACAACAACAACAACACCACAAGTTTCATCACTCTCACCAGCTCTATCTTGGCGGCAAGAAAAGCCTGAGAGAAATCGACATCCCACCCAGAAAGCTTCTCAGCCGCCGTGCCGCCGCCGCCGCCGCCGTGGCCCACCTTGATTCTTCCGACCATCATTTCTTCATGGATTCCCCGAAATCGCTTCATCACGAGGAGGCCGCCCTGCTTCAGAAATTCTTGCCTTACAACAACATTGATGAGGACGACGATGACGATGCTGATCCCTACTCTTCTGATCATTTCAGGATGTATGAATTTAAGGTCAGGAAGTGTACCCGCAGCCGCAGCCATGATTGGACCGACTGCCCTTTTGCTCATCCCGGTGAAAAGGCCCGGAGGAGGGACCCGCGAAGGTTCCATTACTCCGGCACGGTTTGCTCGGAGTTTCGCCGGGGAAATTGCAGCCGCGGCGACAACTGCGAGTTCGCACACGGGGTGTTTGAATGTTGGCTTCACCCAACCCGCTACAGAACAGAGGCTTGCAAAGATGGGAAGAATTGCAAGAGGAAGATTTGCTTCTTCGCTCACTCTCCCCGCCAGCTGCGTGTTTTGCCGGCAAGCTGTCACGAAACTACTCCGGCCGCTTCGTCGTCTCCGGTGGTCGAGAGGAAGCACCACCGGAATCTGAATGTGAATCCTTGCTGCATGTGTTGCCACTCTGTTTCGGCTTCACCCACCTCGACTTTAATGGGAATGTCCCATTTATCACCTCCCCTGTCTCCATCCCTTTCGCCGCCGCTTTCCCCGGTGACAGCCCGATTTTCGCCGGTTTCGAGGTACAAAGATCATTATGGAGTTGTTGAGCCATGTGGGTTGGCTAATCAATTTAATTCCGTTGACGGCGGTATGGCCGGAATGAGTTACAAGGATGCATTGACCGAATTGATGACTTCTCTTGAGACAATGCAATTGAGTGAGGTTTCTCCTCATCATCATGCAGCAGCTGCTAGAACAAGCAACATGCCTGGGAATTTGTCATGGATTGATGTGAATTTCAATAATGGAGTTGATGATCAGCCACAGTTTATTATGTCTCCTTCGACTCCTAGTCCAGCTGCAGGGACTACAAACAAGTTTTTCCACAGGAATTTTAATCCAGTCAGGAGTTTCAATCTCGAAGAAAGCAAGTGCATTAGTACTTCTACTGCTAATGATCAGAATACTGGATTGGTTGGACCTGATTTTGGTTGGGTCAATGATCTCTTGACCTAACATTGTTGTGCAAAATCAAGATGATGATGATGATGGTGAAAATTAGGAGGAGAAAAGGAGTATGATTTTTGTATATATAATCGTTTTGCTATGCATGCGTCCACACAAATTTTTCTGCTGCAACAGATGAAGAAGATTAATGGTTGTGTGAGATTGAAACTCTCTCGGAGGAGGAGGATCGTTCGATGGGATGTGATTATTTTCGTTCAAATATTTTTGCTTTGGATTTTTAAATTTCTACTGATGCTGGTCTTAAGCTAGCAATTTGTTGCTACGAATTGAATGTTGTTGAATTTTTCTGGTCCTTTTGTCAGGTGTTAATATTTGGAAGGGTTTAAATTTATCCTTGGTTGTCTTCTGTAGATGTGTTTTTTGCTTTAACAATGTAACGAGTGAGTGAAAAGGGATTGTCTGATGATGATTGATCATTTTCTTTCACCCCCTTTGTAAAAGATTGATGACTCCGAATGTGTACTAAACTAAATAAATTATTATGCATTATGTCTTTCGATTTAACCTTCATTTGGCACTTCATTAATTCAAAGTTTTGTTTTTTCTTTTTCCTACTATTAATTAATCCTTAATTTATGCAAAGGAGAGGGTAATTATCATATTCAGGGTTCTGTTCAAATGAGATCTCGAGAAAGAAGGCAAAATGATGCTCAAAGATGGTCTCTAAAGGTACCCCCGATAGGACAGGTGGACGACATGCGAGATATGAGGATGACTCAGTACGTACTGGAATAATTACTTTGAATATTGGCTTCTTGTTTATTCATGTTTGGATAATTAAATTGAAGGTTTTCAGCAACTATTTCAAAGGAAAAATAATAATGGTTGTTTCTTCAAAGGAAAAATAATGGTTATTCCAGAGGGTTATGAGAGTTATTTGTGCATAATTTGACGGGTTAGTTCCGACAACTTTGTTGCTACTCTCTTCAACAAGAGCATGTTCATCTCTCTTTTTTCTCAAACCCCATCTATTTAATCAACTTATAGGCCGTTCCGTCATACAAGAAATTTATTTTCCGAACTGATTCAAGGGAAGCTTGATGCTTAATATTTATGAATAACTGATAACATCAACAATCGAAATAAAATGATCACATTAATTGTTTGTTTGAGTAAGTAAAGGCCGTTTTTTTAAATATTAGTGTTTCATTCTCAATGTTTATTATTGAATTAGAAATGATGAATTCATTCTGCAGTTACGGAATAAGTAATAAGGTAATTCTTTATTACTTATATTTTGTAATATAGTTTCAGTACCACTTAATTCATTAAAAAATTCATTTTTTCTTATCAAACATGTTTAAATAAAAGATTACTTAATCGAATAATTTTAAACGTCTTATATAAAATGATTATCGTTGTGTTATCCAATCCATATTGTTTCCTTATACATAGCGTTCCTGTTTGGTGTTTCCTTTCCAGCTGCGTGATGAGTCACAGGGGGACAGCGTAATGGGATGCCGATATTTATATAGGACACCGGGACAGCCTTATTATTATGGGGTTTGGAATTTCATGGCCAAAGACCCATGCATGAATTTTATGGCCAAAAATCTTCATGAACTGAATGTTGCCGTCTTTTCCTTTTGTGCTACCCAAAATCCCTGAGGTTAGATTCATGGAACGGTTTTTGGTATAATTAAAAGCATCATGTGTACGCATCCATCTGTTTCCTAGGATGGATACTTATCTGTTTTAGACAACTAGAAAGGTGAGCAAGGACTTCCGCTTTCAAATAATACTCTCTCTAGTCTCTTCTTAAAAATAAATATATATATATATATATATATATATATCATTACACATTGAGTTATGAACAGTACAAATATCATAATTTAATGTAGACTATTTGTTTTGGAACAAAAGTACCAATGATTTACTTTCAGATCCACGCTATTATGAAAGTGGAGTAATGTTTTAGAGCTTATTTTTTGGAACTGGCTATTGACATTTATACATTATGAACACAATGCACAATTACTAACATAGAGTATTCTAGTTTTTGAAGTTAGTGTCATCCAAAATAATAACCTTAACTCAAATTACTAAGTTTTGCTCTGATGACAACAACAACGTTCTTTTAGGATTACCCTCTCTCTGTCCTAAAAAAGTAGTCTACATTAAGTTTTATAATTTGTATTTAAAATCGTACAAATTTAGAATTTTTCCATAGGGATATAGAATCTACCTCCCATCCATGGTAGGACTAATTTGACGAACGCCTTATGCTGAGTTAGGTGGGCAGTTGTCATTATCATCACAAGGAATGAATGGATGTAACGGCCCATTCTTCCGTGACATTTCCTTTGTGATTCAAGGTCCCTCACCATGTATGCATGCTCCCCTTCTTATTGCACTCCTTGGCCCACCCATAAAATTTAATTGGGCGAAACTAGGAGTATGTATTAACATTTCGTAATTATAATCTCTCATGTTTATTAATTTTTTGTAACTTTTTTTTTGAAAAAAATTATTTATCAATATTTTATTTTTTTTTTGGATTTTGTTGTACATAATGAAAGGTAAATTGAAATGATCAATAAATATTGTCGGTATTTAATACTCCCTCCGTCCTATAATTATTGTTCAGTTTTCCTAAGATATATTCCCTACATCCCATAATTATTGTCCAGTTTGGGTTCTCATTTTTAGTTCAAATTGTACTAAAAGTGAAATCTCAAATTGGCCAATAATTTTAGGGCAGAGGGAGTAAGATTTTATTTTTGGTCAAACTAAACCAAATTTAGGCATAAACTTTCAAATATACCCCTAAATACATAATTAATTTTATTCGCCGAAGATTTATGTTGATCGAACAGTTTTTGGGGAAATCATGAAAGATTCTTGATAAAGGTACTTTCTTTCGATCTATGTATCATCATCAAAGGCATAACTCCAGTTTTGTCGGCGATAAATCTGGCCACCGTCGGAGGAAAACCAGGAAGATATCAGGCTATCCACGGAGACGGCGACAGCGATAGATCGACGAATACTGTTAGAAGCTTTCATCCGACAGCTCCGTCTTACTACAATTTAATGAATAATCTTCTTGAAAGCATAAGAAGTTGCTCATAAAACAAGCAATGGAATAAAATTTTCGGCAGTGGTTCGTCTCTTAGCTATTCAGTGACCTCTAGGCAGTCAATTTGATTTTCCTGTATTCCATCCTCCATGTTATTCATAGTCCATGAAAAGTCCCCCAAAGCGAAGCTTATAATGCAGACCACAAAAGTTTCATCATTAAGAGTCTTAAATATCGGCTATAATCCGAGGAACGCTCAACCACCTGGTCACTTCATCCTTTCCGCCGCTCAAAGCCGTTCGAGTGTAACACTTGTTGTCACTGCTATGGAGAAAACATAGTATGTTTTCTAATAAAGGGTATAAGCGTATTTTATCCCTTAAAAAGTCAAATCGCACAATAATTTTTAGACAAAATTTTTTTAGCAAATTGGACAATAATTTTGGAACAAAAGGGAGTATTACATTACGTTAATTATTACATCAAGTGTCACATCTAACTCTTTATTGTTACGAAATTCAACAATCGATCTAATGATGATTGTCTAACAGATGTGAGCGTGATGATGGTTGGCGGCTAGCAACAGTGTAATTAGTTACTTATTTCATTTTTTTAAAATATAGGTCGTTTTAAGTTTGAAAAAATATTTTAAAATATATCTCTATTTATTTTATCTATTACTTTAGGAGAATCTAAAAAAATAAATTTACAGGTCACATTTCATTTCTAATGTAGTATTAAATACAGTTTTTTCAAATTTACTCTTATTTCTCTCTATTTTTAATAACATACATTAATGAAAATTACCTATTTGTTACGCTCTAATTTCAAATTTTTATATTATTCAAATACTTTTAATCACGGACAAGAAAGACAATATACTTAAAAATTAAAGTCTCAATCATTTTCTTTTTTTTTTTTTTTTGCATGTTGTAGGGTGGCAGTCATTATCTCTTTAATAGTCCTTCCAATTCTAAGCTGACACATTAAAGTAAATGGAGGTTGTAAGCTATTTTAGTATTTTAAGGTCAATTAATAATTAATTTTTAACTTTATCCTTAATAAATTATGTCAACTCCTTTTTATTTAGTCTTGTTTATATTCCCTCTATTTTTTATATGTCTTTCTAGAGAAATCATCAAATTAAAAAAATATTAATTAATATAGTTAAAATATAAAAATACGATTATTTATTATTTATACAATTCATCACAAAGCAATAGCAATTCATTATAAATATTGTTTCATTTCCAATGCAAAGATAATATTGGTAAAAAGTGGTCAAATATGCTTCAATTTGTGAGAACGACATATATTTAAAAAATTCACCAAATCCTAAAATGACATATATTTCAAAATGGAGGGAGTAATTCATTACATTAAGTGATTGGCATAAAAGAGAAAAAAATATCGTTCCTACCCAAACCTTTGCCCTCGTCGTCAATCATACCCAATAGATTTTCGGTTAGCCAACTTGACCCTAATGTTCGAAATTTTCGCCAATTTTGTCCAATCGGTCTATTATCAGTCCAAATTAACGGATCTCCGTTAGTTTTTTAATAAAATAATAAATTTAAATACAAAAATATCCCAGTAGTTTGTTAAAATTTTAAAATAACCCCTAAAATATATAAAAATAAAAAATAGTCCCTTTTCACTTTTTTATTTCATTTTTCTCTATTTTGTTCTATTTCTCTCAACAACTTTTAATGACCATAAAAGTATATTATATGAGTTTTATAAAAATATTTATTTATTTTCAAACTCTACCGTAAAAAAATATTTATTTATTTGAGCTAATATTTTATTTTTATGTGGAATATTAGTTTCATTTAAATGTTTTTAATCTTTTTGTTAGGAAGAATAAAATAAATCAGAAAAATAGTGTCTTTATTGCTAAACTATATTATTAAAAAAACTAAAATGCTTATATAAATACAATCATGGGTTACAACTATACAAAGATTAATTTTTACAGTAGAGTTTGAAAATAAATAAATATTTTTTTAAAACTCATATAATAGAGTTTTATGGTCATTAAAAGTAGTTGAGAGAAATGGAACAAAATAGAGAAAAATAAAATAAAAAGGTGAAAAGGGACTATTTTATTATTTTTATATATTTTAGGGATTATTTTAAAATTTTTGAAAATTACTAGGATTTTTTTGTAATTAAATTTATTATTTTATTAAAAAACTAACAGAAATCCGTTAATTTGGACGGAAAATGGGTCGATTGGACGAAATTGGCGAAAATTTCAAACATTAGGGTAAAGTTGGCTAACCGAAAATCTATTGGGTATGATGGACGACGAGGGCAAAACTTTTTATAGGAACGACATTTTTTCTGTATAAAAGATATCTGAAATACAAACTAATAGATAAATGATGGCCTCCTTAGTTTATGTGGAAAATTTAAAGTAATTATATTTTGAAATGGAAAGAGTTGTGTTTTAAAACAAAAGGGTTACCAATGTAGTGGAGAGCAGATCGTC